CAGTTAGTACACAAGCCCCACACTTCCAAAGCTCGTAAATGTCATCTTTGTTAGGAAGAGCATAAGGGGGTCCCATTTATGGATTAAGTGATCATGGCAAGAATGGACACAGTAGCTGGTGCCAGTATTTGCATCCTGATGGAAGAGGTGATGCTGACCCGGTATATATTCCCCTTGAAGGAAAAGTTGGGGCAGAAGACCAAGATCAGTGACATCTCTGTGTCCAAGCCCTGCATCTATGATTATTGCTTGCCACCCTATGCCTTTGTTCTAGGACAAAATTAAGGGCAGAACTCAGAGTGTCTTAAGGAAGATTGGTTACTCAATATAAAGTCTGTACATGTAAAAATCATGCCAGAATTTTAGAAAAGTTCAGTTTGCCTCAAGAACCGTGTAAGAGTACCAGAAATTACCTGTGATATTGTCAAAAGAGGAGCTGCCAAACCAGATAATTATGGACTTTTATATGACAGTAAGGATTTTCCTACAAAGGGAAAGATGCCTAACATGTCATAATATTATTGAGAACGGTAAGCTGGTTACAAATGAATGTCAAAAAATGTTATTGCAACTCTGGGCTTCCCTGGTGGCGCAGTGGTTGAGAGTCCACCTGCCGATGCAGGGCACGTGGGTTCGTGCCCCGGTCCGGGAGGATCCCACATGCCGCAGAGCGGCTGGGCCCGTGAGCCGTGGCCGCTGGGCCTGCGCGTCCGGAGCCTGTGCTCCGCAACGGGAGAGGCCACAACAGTGAGAGGCCCGCGTACCACAAAAAAAAAAAAAAAAAGTTATTGCAACTCAAGGAAAAAGACAATGCTATCAAAGTGATCTTGTTTTTACCATAAAAGTACCCTTTTGTGGTAGAATGGTATGCTAAGTTCACGGAGTCTCCTTGTCAAATAACCTTTATCAAAAGCTAAATTTAAAGGAATTGTGGAAGAAACTGATGTTATGCTAAAGGAGGGATATAAGAATATATTTGAGAAACTCTAACTACACCATATCCCTATGTTCATATTTTCGACCAATAATGGTGATGTACTTAAGGATGTTATCCATCAAGCTGGTGTTTGTCATCCAAATGTCAAAGTAGTGTTCATTCATGGATTTTGATGAAAATGTGTTCTCAAAGAATTTAAAGGAGAATTAACCTATATATTTAACAAACATGATGATACCTTGAAGAACACAGAATATTTTAATCAATTAAAGGGCAATAATAATTTAACTCTGCTGAGAGACTCCCAAGGAGACTTAAGAATGGCAGATGGAGTAGCCAGTGTTTAACACATCCTAAAAACTGGATATCTAAATGATGGAGTGGGTGAGCTTTTAGAAGAAGTATTGTTTTAGTGAAAGATAAATCACTGGAGATAGCCAGCTCTATCTTACTGAGGATTCTATAAACTGGTATTCTACAGGAAGACCTCTCTCCTATGGGAGCAGTTAATACAAGAACTGCTCTTAATCTTGCTGAAACGCTCTTAATTGTAATATATTCTTGCTCTTGAAGTTTTTCCTTTACATTACTGAAATATTTTCAGACATGTTAAGTCTATCAGCTGGAAGCTTCTTTTTCTTCGCCTCTCTCAACACACTTTCCTCTTTATTTCTTTTTAACAGATTTTGAAAAATCTTGAAGCCAAAATCAGAAAAATAACTCCCTAGTTTTCCAAAGTGGATTTTGTAATTCAATTTTATCACACATATTTTGAGATCTTTTTATACTTGAAAAGTTTTCAGAAGGCCAACAAGAAATTTTATGAAATGGTCAAATAATTTACATGATTTTAAGTTAAGTATTGCCAGTTTTGCAATTTGGATGGATCATGCTGATGGTATTACCGTCTCCTGAAATTGTATTATGTTTGGTTTTCTTGTTTGGAGAAAATCAAAATTGACCAGAAAAGACTGGCGCTCTGTAGTTAATGAAAAAACAGTTGGTATCCGCATGTAACTGATCATTACAAGTGTTCTATATTGACTCGCTGATAATAAACATAAAATAGAAAATCTATTTTTAAATACCCATTTCTCTCAAGGTGATAGCACTTGTTAAACCATTCATATCTTAGCATAAACTAATTTATCATATCCTTTCTTGCAAACAGACTTTGAAGACATAAGAAATAAAGGCATCAGGCCCTAAAAGTAGGAAGTAAAGGAGACACCATATTGGGCAAAAAATCTGTAAGGTTATCCAGAACAAACTGCCTTCTTCATAATTTTACCTAAATCCAGGCCTGGCTTCAATTTCTTTTTAGTTGGTTTTGCTCTTTGTCAATCAAACTCCTGGCTTAATGGCTTAAACATTAAAAATTGGCATTAAAAAAGTACCTAGTCCATTGTCATCTATAGACCTTGGCATCCTATCTAGAACAAAAAGGATCAAGATCACATGTACAGGGTCATAGAACTATACTGAAGATAAGAACATCTCCCTGACCTAGACAAACTCAAAATAGCTATATACAAAATCACCCTAACCTGGGGGGTGACCCCAAGTGGAGCAGCTGTCACAGACTGTCCTGTGAGCAATCCCCAGAAAGCAGTGACTTTCAGCTCTTCCAAAGGGCCTGGTAACATACCTTTGTCGGCAGCTGTAACTGCCACTGGCATCTAGAGAGAAACCAAGAAAGGGTCAGGCTAAGGGGGGTTTTAATGTTTGTTTTATTTTATTTTGGTTTTGCTTATTGTTTTGGTCTTGACACAAAAGAAAGCATTCAGCTTGGAAAATCATGTATACTAATGTTTTAAATAAATGGGCATAATGTTTTTCTACTGACTATAACCATATACTACTGCAGATATTTTACTTTACATTACATTATAGGCATGTTATCAGGTACAGATATGTGGAGTCTGCCAAGAAGTGGAACTTTCTTGCCAGAGTTGGAGAGCTAAACCAAATGAGTTGATATATCTATTTCAAAGGCCATATGCGCTGCTGGAATTTGCTGCCATCCACTCAAGGGGAAGGTTTGCCTCTGAATGTATCAAAAGGACTCACCCAGCAGCTAAAAAGTCCTGTAACCACAGGGGTCTGATTATTCGCTGTTGACACTTCAGTTTTCATGGTCAAACAATAATGTCAGCTTACCCTTCAGACTATACTACAAAGCTACAGTAATCAAGACAGTATGGTACTGGCACAAAAACAGAAATATAGATCAATGGAACAGGATAGAAAGCCCAGAGATAAACCCACGCACATATGGTCACCTATCTTCGATAAAGGAGGCAAGAACATACAGTAGAGAAAAGACAGCCTCTTCAATAAGTGGTGCTGGGAAAACTGGACAGCTACATGTAAAGAATGAAATTAGAACACTCCCTAACACCATACACAAAAATAAACTCAAAATGGATTATACACCTAAATGTAAGGGCAGACAGTATCAAACTCTTAGAGGAAAACATAGGCAGAACACTCCATGACATAAATCACAGCAAGATACTTTTTGACCCACCTACTAGAGAAATGGAAATAAAAACAAAAATAAACAAATGGGAGCTGATGAAGCTTAAAAGCTTTTGCACAGCAAAGGAAACCATAAACAAGATGAGAAGACAACCCTCAGAATGGGAGAAAATATTTGCAAATGAAGCAACTGACAAAGGACTAATCTCCAAAATTTACAAGCAGCTCATGCAGCTCACTATCAAAAAAACAAACAAACCAATCCAAAAATGGGCAGAAGACCTAAATAGACATTTCTCCAAAGAAGATATACAGATTGCCAACAGACACATGAAAGAATGCTCAACATCATTAATCATTAGAGAAATGCAAATCAAAACTACAGTGAGATATCATCTCACACTGGTCAGAATGGCCATCATCAAAAAATCTACAAACAATAAATGCTGGAGAGGTGTGAACCCTCATGCACTGTTGGTGGGAATGTAAATTGATACAGCCACTATGGAGAACAGTATGGAGGTCCCTTAAAAAACTACAAATAGAACTACCATACGACCCAGCAATCCCACTACTGGGCATATACCCTGAGAAAACCATAATTCAAAAAGAGTCATGTACCACAATATTCATTGCAGCTCTATTTACGATAGCCAGGACATGGAAGCAACCTAAGGGTCCATCAGCAGATGAATGGATAAAGAAGATGTGGCACATATATACAATGGAATATTACTCAGCCATAAAAAGAAGCAAAATTGAGCTATTTGTAGTGAGGTGGATGGACCCAGGGTCTGTCATACAGAGTGAAGTAAGTCAGAAAGAGAAAAACAAATACCGTATGCTAACACATATATATGGAATCTAAAAAAAAAAGTGGTCTGAAAACCTAGGGGCAGGACAGGAATAAAGATGCAGCTGTAGAGAATGGACCTGAGGACATGGGGAGGGGGAAGGGTAAGCTGGGACGAAGTGAGAGAGTGGCATGGACATACACTACCAAATGTAAAATAGATAGGTAGTGGGAAGCAGCCGCATAGCACAGGGAGATCAGCTTGGTGCTTTGTGACCACCTAGAGGGGTGGGATAGAGTGGGTGGGAGGGAGGGAGACGCAAGAGGGAAGAGATATGGGGATATATGTATATGTATAACTGATTCACTTTGTTATAAAGCAGAAACTAACACACCATCGTAAAACAATTATACTCCAATAAAGATGTTTAAAAAAAAAAAGAAAGTCCTATTGGTATCTTTTCTTTACTGAAGGCCACTGTAACACATCTGGGCTTTCATTCTTTTAGCTCCTCTGTGGGATAGACATGAGAACAGTCACAACACACTCTCTGGGGCTGGAAAAACCTCTCCTAGTGTTTTCTTCCATTTCTTCTTCCTGCTTTAAATGGCTGTGATCAAAACCTTCCCTATTAGAAACATCTGGACCACAAGCATTCCCTCAACTCCCACTTTATTTTGGGACATTCTAATGTGTGCTGAATTTTTAGGTTCAATTAAAGGTCAAGAAGAGACAATAAAATAATTAGTCTTATACAGATTAACTTTTCCATTATCTTCTTCCTTTAGCAGCTTCATGGATGCCCGGTGAAACATACAGTTCATCCCCCTCAAGGGCAGGTTTGACACTTCATGGTGAGCACTTAGGGAAAATTTAGTGTCAGGGAAGGTTGTGGTCTGCTTTATTTGATCAGAGGTGGAATAATGAGAACGAAGCCAATCTCAGGTATTTAAAAGTGCATCTTGATGAAAATGACAGTGATGATAAAAATGACAATGGATGGAACTAAAATTCTTCCCAGTCACTCAAAAGAGATAGTCAGAGACCAAGTCTTAGATTTGTCTCTATTTTATTTCAAAATGAAATCTACATAATGGCATTTGGGGGCCAAATAAATCCATTAAAGTGCATTTTAAGTTTTAGTTTTCCATTTGAAAATGGAATGATTTGTTGACATGGATTTGTCTACTCAGATGTTGCAAAGGAATTTTTATTGATCTTATCAAACATATTAGAGTGGGAAGAATCAGTATTTTGATTCATTGGACCTCTGATAACCTGGGCTACTATGGAAAAGCTTCATCTTTCCATGACACCAACTTCAGACATTTTCCCATAACCACTTCTCATGGAGATTCTTTAGCAGATATTATTTTGTTTTATGTGCTGTATTGTTTCTCTTTTTTTTCTTTAAACCAATAGGAAGTTTCACTCTTTGGTAACTGTTAGACAGATCCTAGAATACCAGTCCTGCGTAAATTGTTCCTTAGTAAACTTTACAGATAATATTTTAGGAGCATTTAGGCCATTCAAATTGAGCCCTTGCTAATAGCAAGTGAAGTCCAATCACAATTTTACACTTCTTGACCAGGTGGAGATCGTCATTAGGATCAGATCAGATATCCCCTTTATATCCCTAGGTGACACCTTCACCAGCACAGCCAGAGCATTTTCAGAAGTTCCCACAACTGCCAATGGATCTACTAAAAATAATCATATCCATATCACTGGTGCGTCATTTACCATTTTTAAAAATTTTAAGTTTTATTCACTCAACAAGTATTTACTGAGAACCTGCCATTTGTCAGGTACTGTGCCAGTTGTTGGGTATACATTGAAAACACTTGCCTCCTGAAGATTATAATCTATTATAGAGGATATTTAGTAAATAAATAATCGTGCAATTAAATTTATTTGTGACACATCTTATGGTGTAGTACAAGGTGTTGCCAGAGTCTAACAGAAAGCTCTGATTTTAATTGGGGAACAAGAAGGATTCTCTGAGGATATATTTAAAATTAAAATCTGAAAAATGAATGAGAATGAGCCAGGTAAAAAGTAGTGAGAAACATTTCAGTTCTGTGAAAGTATAGTCTGATTGTTGGAACAAAGAGTATTCCTATAGGGCTTCCCTGGTGGCGCAGTGGTTGGGGGTCCGCCTGCTGATGCAGGGGACACCGGTTCGTGCCCTGGTCCGGGAGGATCCTGCATGACGCGGAGTGGCTGGGCCCGTGGGCCACGGTGGCTGGGCCTGCACCTCCAGAGCCTGTGCTCCGCAATGGGAGAGGCCACAATGGTGAGAGGCCCACATACCGCAAAAAAAAAAAAAAAGTATTCCTATAATTCAACTAATAAAATTTTGTCAATGTTAAATGTAATCCCTTGTTTTATATCATAAGAGGTCATGGTATTCAATAAAGTTAGGACCCTCCCAACACAGATCTTGATTGTAAATTCAGAGCCATAATCAACTCTTTCCCTTCAGAAGGTATTCACTTAACTGGTGAATGTTCCACCTGGGGACTCAGTTTATTTCATATTGAGGGTCATACAGTCCTCAGTTACTGGAGCATCATCCATCCTGCACACCACATAGCAGCAGAGCTGCAAACTGACATCCTACTAACATCTTTCACTATTGGTGCCTTAAAGAACTGCCTAATTGAGAGACAGGGCAAGATTGGAGCTCGGCTTCTCCACCAAGACATTCCTGAAGTCAGTGGTCTCATTTTCTATATTTGGTTGGGAGAAAATTAGTAAGCATTGATGGAAGACCTATTAGAAGACCTATTTAAAACCTTTTGTTCTTTCATTTCTCTAAAACTTTGGAGGTAAAATGTTATATTCCACCATATTACCAGTGTAGAGCTTAGTAAGTCTTGACTTTACTAAAACAGAACTTTGTGTAGTCCTAAATTGACCTCTTGTGAGATTATTTCTTTTGTGATCATGATATTCCAGTGGTTTGAACTACTGTGAACTCTCTAGCCACCTGTGCATACAATGAGCCACATGGTTACGTATTTTAGGACTGTGTGAGCTTCCAGGGTACCCTCAGTGTCTGCTTTGACAGGGCTAGAGTAGCGTGAGCATCAGGAAGACCTTGAATCCCTGGATACGTGTTGTAAGAGGAAAAATCTTCAGCACTGATACCCAGTGTTAACATGACATCATGTGGCTGCCATCCAAACTACGTAAAACATAGATTTGGTAACTAATATTTGAAATCCAGTTTTTTGGCCTGTAGTTTTTGAAACTTTGCTTTATGAAAAGCAGTGTAATAAATCTGAGGCAATCAAAACAATTAAAAAACTAGTCTCCACCTACAATCAGTTTATAATCTAGTTAAAATGATGAAAAAAACAAAAACAATCCAGATAATTCTGTTACAAAAATGCACTTTTTGCCCAAATAATTTATGTAATCTGAAGAGCTAATGATCTACCTATAATGTATTAGGAATTTCACTGGAGTGCTGTTAGAAATAAGAAAAGCCTGGAAACAATTTAACCATCTAACATTAAGAGGCCAATTAAATAAACTATGGTAGATCCATACATTGGGGAACTAGCCAGTAATTTAATATTGTAGAATGAGGAAAACCTCTATGCACTTCTGCGAAAAGTATTCCAAGAATATTTTTTAAGAGAAAGAAACCAGGAACAGAACAGTATGTACAGTATGCCCCCATTTGTAATAAGAAGGGATATATATTCATGGTACATATATTTGCTTATATATGAGTAAAAAATTTCTGATAGGATACATAATTAACTATTAAAAGTTATTGCCTCTAGTGTGGGTAGCTGGCCTCTGAAGAAGTAAGGATACTTCCTTTTCATTGTAGTTTTGTATTTCTGTACTATTTGAATCTTTAACATGATCATAAAACACTTTTTAAAAAGGAAAAAATTAAGCAACTATATAATTATAAACATTCCCTTTTATTCTCTGCCAGGCAGAACCAGACAGTCTTATTTCCTAAGAGAGTTTGTTTTCTTAATTTTTCCTTCATGTTAGAGAAAAAGTAAAACAGTCCTGAATATTATATTTATATTGCCTCTGGCCTTTTTGGCTTTGGACTTTCAGGCCTTTGAATTGTTATAATGCTTTTTACTCTTTCCTCCTCCTCCTAACACACGAATATTCCATAAAGCATTTAATGACTCCTTAAAGAATAAGAAAATCCAAAGCTAGACCAATATTTCTACATATAAAGTTTTCTTTACTGAAGTGAATTTGGAAAACAAGTTTACAGATGATCAGTTTTATTTAGTCATTCTTACAAATACCATTTCACTGGGCACCATGTGCCAGGAATTGTCCAGGGTCTTGGGGAAATGAAAAAAATAAAGAAAAGGTCAGTTCTGGAACATTCTAACAAGAAAGACATTCATGTGAAAAAAAGCAATTGTATAAATGCAAAAACAGATATGAGAACAAGGCATAGATATGGTCCCAGAGCATGACTGTGATCAATGAACACCCCATGGCCTTTGGAGAAAACGTGTTTCAGGTAAGCAAATTAATTCAATTCATCCTTCTTTCCAGTTGCCAAACTTTGGCATTAAAGTTCGTCTCTCTTTATGCCCTTTTCAGGTATTGTGGTTAATCAGCCCAAAGATGGAATGTCCTGGCCAGTGACGGTGGCAGCTTTGCTCTTTTCCTGCCTTGTACTGTTTGGTCTTGGAGTGAGAAAATTGTGTCAATACCAAAAAGAAATGTGAGTCCACTACTAAGATATGCAGGAACAGATACTTTTTTCAGTACAAAATATTCACTCAGCAATTTAAATATCATTCCTAGCATTTATGTCATATTTAACTGACGAAATAAGGCTCAGAGAAGCCCAGAGAGGCTACCTAGCTTCCCCGGCACCACACAGCTGGGATTAGATGCACAACTTCTGACTTCGTCCCACCTCTCCCTGTTCAGGCTCGAGCACTCACTGGATGGAACAAGTCAGTGGGCATGAAATGAGAACTGAAACTCATTTTTCTCTTAATCTTCATTAGTTTTTTCATTTTCATGCATCTCTGAATTGCCTGGGCCCCGCTGGGCCTAGATGCTCAAGTGTGAAATTGAGTGAGAAAGGTAATTTTAAGAAATTTCCACCTGCTTTTCAGCAGAATGGGCTTTTACTGCCCTTTTCCTTTTTTGCCACGGGGAAAAGCAAGCAAGCAATGAGTTACCCCTTTTCTGTCTTATTGAAATATTTTCCAAAACTCTCCTCCCTCCACTCATCTTTCTGAAATGACATGGAAGGTAAAGCCTCACTTTTCTGACTCGGCTACTTTGGATCAGTCTGGATCAGGCCATGCCTAGAGGAGACCTTCAGAATACATAGAGCTGATCTTCCACGTATCTTACTACTACTGTCTCAGATAACATTGACCATGTACTCTACCTTCTACTTAGAGTACCCTCGAAGACTCTATAGCCATGTGCAAGGAGTGTTTTGTGCTGAATAAAACACCAAACAGAGTCAGAAATTCTGGATTCTTGTCCAAATACTACACTTTGGCCACCACGTGACCTTGAGAAATTCTTAATTTCCCATAAAAGATAGAAGTGCAAATTTCTTAGAATTTTGTCCACCTTTTGATATGTATTGTCTCCATTAAAGCATCAAAGAACCAGGTAATAGGCGTTGGGATTTTTTTTTTTTTTTTTTTTGCGGTACATGGGCCCCTCACTGCTGCGGCCCCTCCCGCTGCGGAGCACAGGCCCCGGATGCGCAGGCCCAGCGGCCATGGCCCACGGCCCCAGCCGCTCCGCGGCATGCGGGATCCCCCCGGACCAGGTCACGAACCCACGCCCCCTGCATCGGCAGGCGGACCCTCAACCACTGCGCCACCAGGGAAGCCCCCGGCATTGGGATTTTTATATTAAAATGAGAAAATGGGAACCTGAAAATATGAATTGATTTTTTTTTATTGTTCTGCATTCAAATGTCTGTGTTATATAGAGATGAAAAACAATCTCTCCCTCTCTCTGGAGAAATTAAGGTACTATGGATTGATAGACAAAGGGTAGAAGTATTTGAGTCATGGACATAAATCTGCTCACAGATATACCTCTATTTCCTGATATCAAGAGAGCTGGAGCATTTGTACAGCTAAATGCCACACTCACCTTTATGCTTGAGGCTCTTCAGAGAGAGAGATGAATTGTGCTAACATAGAACAGTATACAAAGACAACTTTAAGAATATTCACTAAAACAAACAGAAGGGATGTGGGCATCATCCATCCAGTACCAATCAACTCAGAGACTCATGGATTAGAGCAGAACCATCCAAGCCAGGCCCAATTTAGACCAACCAACCTCCAACCTAACCAAATGTGCATTATTAAATGGTGTGACAGTTACACAGCATTGTTGTAGCAAAAGTTAACCTATATGCATATGTCAAGAGGTAGGCATATTTAGGTCTTATGCAAGTTCCTAGGGTGAGAGAGAAAATCAAACTTAATTCAATCAAAATAGTCTTTCCCTTGATTAAGCTTAAGTTTGTTTTAACTGATGAACATATGGTCAGCTTGACCAAATTAACCTTGCAGTGTAAGTCTTTAAAGTCATAAAATATTTGATTATGATGGACATTAGAGGTCATATTACAAATAAAGAGCTAGAGACTCTGTGAGATTGACTTTCCAAGGTTACATAATTAGAAGTGATAGGGTCAAAATGATGACCCAGCTCTCTGATTTCCAGTCCAGAGTGTGATCAGTCTCCATTATATCATGATATTTAACTGCTTTGGTGTCTCCTTTTACTATATACAAGAGCTGTTTTGTGTGCACTTAAGTAAATATTGATTTTTTTAAATGCCCAGGTAATATATTCCAAAAATTGTTGACAGAAAACAAAGAAAAGCAGAAATAATTGGCCCCTGGGGTGGGATGGACAGAAAAGTATGCAAAAAAAAAAACAAAGACTAGGAAATGAAAAGAGAAAAGAAACTAATCAAGATCAAAAGCTGGAAAGAAAGTTTAAAGAAACTAACCAAGGCCAGAGATAGTGGAAAGAACATTGTCTCAGAGGCTCTGAGGAAGGGGAGAGGTTTTCGAAGGCAGCCCCCTTGGCACCCTGATTTAGGAGAATGGCTTTGACTTGAACTTGAAGGTTGAATCTGCAGAAACACAGAAACTTTGTTCTTTGAGGGATGACGGACATAGCCTGAGTTTTTGACAACACCAGTCATGGCTATGTCAACCAGCTGAAGCTTGAGTGTCCAGCGGAGACAGCTGAAATGGTGAGTGAAAGTTACCCTCTTGAGAGAAAAAGACATTAACTGGCAGAAATGAGCTGAAGTTCCAGCCAGAAACACATGGTGAAGTAGTAGGAACAGAACATTTTATTTCTCAGCTCTGGCAAAGGGTTTTTTTTTCCTGGATTCTGTGACTACTAGCAAGGCTGCAGGCTCCAGCCAGGAAGATGTAACCAGAGAGCAAGCAAATATGAACTTAGACAAGGTCAGGACCAAGGAACACTTTTGAAATTACCCTTAAACCCTGTCTAGTGCTTCTGTGATGGGTCTAGACATTAGCTGGGTGCAAATTAACAAAGGAATGAGAACAATAGAATCTAAATTTTTCTCCCCAACCGACATCTTTGTACCCTCCTAACCTCGGTTACATTCTTTATCTGGTTTGCTCACTCAGATCCCTCATGTTAGCTCAAAGGCTCTGTGAGATTGTGATTATAAGGAAGGATACTGAGGAAAACAAGGGGGAAGAGTAACAAACCCAAGATCACAACATAAAGAAGAGAACGTGGAGGGGGCCGCATCCAGCTACCCTTGGTAAATGACAGGAATGTGCCTGCATTTGCCCTGAGTTCTGTCAGACGACTCCCCATTTACTGTCCAAAAAAGTCATACCACCAAACTAAACTGATCACAGTGTTAAGCCATTCAGCTATTGCTAGAAGATACTCAGAGGTGCTGGGAAGGCAGGGTGGAGTGGACGGAAAAACAGTTACATGAATTGTGAAGAGAAATTTGATGGTGGACCTGAGAACCACGTAGAGAGTTAACATTTCTTAGACATGTGAAACTGTACTGATTATACCATAATGGCAGATTCGTGCCATTATACATTTGTCAAAACCCATGAAAGGTACATCAAGGGTGAAACTTAATGTAAAGTTTGGACTTCGGGTAATAATAATATGTCTGTGTAGGTTCCTTGATTGTAACAAACATACTGCTCTGGAACAGGATGTTGATGGTGAGGGAGACTGTGGGGTGGGGCAGGGGGAATATGGGAATTCTGTATTTTCCACTCAATTTTGCTGTGAACCTAAAATTATCTTAAAAAATAAAATCTATTTTAAAAAAATGGTAACCTCTCTATTCTGCACTTTCTCTTGTGAAGACATAAATACACGATAATGCTGAATGGGAAGAGAAGTGGGGATTTGAGAATTTTATCTGTGGTAGAACGTTTTTGTACCACTGGTTTGGGATCAGCATAATTCCACTCTCATAAGTAATTGGGTTGCATTGGATTTTTCTTGTACATAAAGCCGTTGCCCTGATTCAAATGGACATGATTTAATGCCGAATAGATCTGAACCTGACATAATTATAAATAGGAATTTATTTTAATTTCTGCTGCTAGTTAATGAAAAAGTGTGACAAACACTGCTCCTGAGTACCTCTTTTTTTTGGGGGGGGGCTGCATTTGGTCTTCGTTGCGGCGCGTGGGCTTTCTCCAGTTGCGGCGAGCAGAAGCTACTCTTCATTGCTGTGCGTGGGCTTCTGATTGCCGTGGCTTCTCTTGTTGCAGAGCACCGGCTCTAGGCACACGGGCTTCAGTAGTTGTGGTGCACGGGTTTAGTTGCTCTGCAGCATGTGGGATCTTCCCAGAACAGGGATCGAACCCGTGTCCCCTGTACTGGCAGGCAGATTCTTAACCACTGCACCACCAGGGAAGTCCCCTGAGTACCTCTTTTGAATGGCCAGTTTAGGGTCTGTAGAGTTCACACTCAAGAAACTGATATAAAAAAGTTCTTAGAATCACTCCATGCCTTCAGTGAGTATAGAGTTTAATGGGAGAAACAGATTCTAAACAAATAAATACAGTACAGAGTGATACATCTGAAAATAAAAGTATGTACAAAGAAGTGAAAAGAATAAAGAAGAGGGTATCATTTCGGGGACAGAGTGTGAGAAATATTTTTAAAAGGCTTCAGAGAGAGGGCGTCAATAGAGCAAAGGCACTTCAGTAGAGACCTTGACATCTAAGACATAGTGATGGAACTTGAAACCTTACCTAAGGATTATACCAGGAATGCAAGGAGGGCTTACTAATAGAAAAATCTCTTAAATTAATTTACCATATAAATAGAGTTTAGGAGGAAAAGTATAGGATTAATCTCCATAAATGCTTTAAAAGCCATTGGCAAAATTCAACACCCATTTCTAATAAAACTCTCGAGAAAATGGGATATTTCCCTAGCTCCATATATACATGTGTGTGCATATCTATATCTATCTATTTATATATAGCTATACTATTTTATATACATATATACACTATTGTTATAGTGTATAGATATTATAACTATATAGTTATATATATACACACATATACTATAGAATATATACATAAAGACATGTGACATAATATATACTATACTATAATTATATACATACAATGGCAATTACTATAACTATACAAATATATATATATATATATATACATATATATATATCCAG